CATTACGTATTGCTAGAGCAATGTCAAGTGCACGGACAGCAATGTTTGAAAATAAACTGTGATCACTGCGATAATGCGTTTGTCGTTATTTTCTTCAAAACAAGGTATAATAAAACAATTATTAGATTCGGTTTTTGTGATGTCTGGAATAATCAAGGTCTCGGTTAGTGTTATGAGCCTCAGCCTTCGGTTTCAGCTGATAACACTTACCTCGACCTTGATTATTCCAGATATCACAAAAACCTCATCCAATAATTGTTTATAAATACCACTGGTGATATTTCAAAATTGTATCAAATTTCACTTGCCATAACAATTTTGAAATATCACTTGTGGTATTTATGCCAAATATCACTACTAATCATGGTATTACCTATACTAACATAAAGTTCCTGAGCACATAAGCAAGTGTAATTAGAAAAAATAATATTAACAAAGTGATCTAGACATTATCTCTTTTAGTGCCTGGAAAAATACACGTAAATCCATGGCAAAAAGATCTCTATACATCGTACCAAAGAGAGACTAATCTGTTAGTTTGTTATGTTGTTTTGGTAGATCTTGAATTGGAGCATGAGGGAGCAGCTCCAGGATCCACCTCACAGCCAGTTAGACGAAACATTTCTTTAAAACTGAAAGCAAAGAGCAAGTCAGCAAGTTCATTGTCATCTGGGAAAAGCAAGAAAAAGGAAGGAAAAAGCGGAGAAAAGTCTAGGACAGGATCGGAAGGTAAAGAAGCCAATTTTCTTTCAACGCTGTACAATGTATGTGTGGTTTTAAGCCTTGCTGTCATGTTGTTTCCTTAGACAAGAAACGTTAGTCCACTTTGTCTCTTCACCCAGGTGTATAAATGGGAACCTGAGGAATGCTGTGTGAAGGTTGTTGAGAGACACACACTCTTGAGCATCTCTGTCAATAAGAGCCTGAGACAGTGGATTCCCTTTGGCTACTATGAGCATGACCCCTGGATACTTTCATAAGAAAATGGAATATAGAATATAGAACCAATACAGTGCTTGAAAAATCTTGAAGTCCAGCTGTCTTTGGGGCAAGCAGCTCTCATATTTTGCTTGCTTAGGGCCACCTCTTGCTTGTCTTAGTTAATGATTTTATTAGAGGATCAGTTGTCTTGACCCTTAATGGGCAAGTGAGCCTTAAAAGTTACTTGTTTAGCAAGAAAATCCACCTGACCAGGACTACTGGATGGGACTTGTTTTGAGCCCTGCAACATAAATTTGTTGCTGTTTATTACCCTGCCTACATATTGTACATTTAAACATGTACGGTATATCCAGCAACTTGAAATCTGAGCAACAGCCCTGCTTGAGGAAATAAGCAACATTGACAAGTTTTTCATTTTTCTGTGAATTATGTTTGTTTATTCAAAAGAGACAATCAGTATTACAGTGGAACCTTGATATAATGAAACTCTGTATAACAAAGTCCTCGGTATAACAAACGATTTTCTTTACCCCAGTCATTGTAAGATATGAAAAAGAACCTCAATATAACAAAACCTCATCGATATGGCAAACACATTTTGCCAGTCACCTGGCTCTTCGTTAAATCAAGGTTCCACTGTACAGATGTTACTAGAACCTTCTGGAAAAACCTACTTGGAAAAGCAGGTTTTTCAAGAATGGTCTTTTTGTTGTTACATCATACCTGTTTTCACCCTTTTGTCACTAACTGATCTGTCAGAGAGTTCTCTTGTATTTTGGCTCATAAATAAATTTCAAGTTGTTTTTGAAAACTTCCGAAGCTCTGGTAAATTTATTAAGTTGAATGGCAACAAGGGTGTCCTGTGATGAGCAAGCATCCCATCCAGAGAGGTTAGCCATACTCCTACGGTGTAAATGCTTCATGCTACAGAAATTAGGTTAAGCTCTGGCTGTTTGGGCTTCAAGATGTAGGTCTGCCTGTACCTGCTTTTGCATTGAGTTACATTGCTCTTTTGGATGTTAATTCTTGCCTTCAGTTGTACTGTAATTTACTGTGTACTGTAAGTGACAAAATTCTATCCTTTCAGTAATAGTTCTTATATTTTTTAAAAGAATTTGTTATTCATGTGTACCAGCTGCCATACAACTATGATTTTTTGTAATGAAATAGAAAAAGGGTTGTTTGTTTGTTTACACAAATCCTGATCAAATTTAATTATGTAATTTTGCCTGCATTGGTGTAAAAGTTATTCAGGTAGAGGCCATAGAGTACAGTTAGTTAGGTCGTAATGACATGTTGTGCAGTTCACAGACCACAGGATTCAATTAAAACCGAGTAAACTACACATGTAAACATTTCGCTAGATTGTTAAAGGTCCTCTTAGTTGTTAGAAGTCCTGGATAGTTATTTTATTCTTTGTTTGTCATATCTATTAGTTGACAAGGAAAGTAAAAGGAAACAGAAATCCCCTGGAACAGCTGCAGCAGCTCAAGTGGTTGTCATGAGAGAACTCAAGTGGGATCATCAAGTATGTACTATTAATTTTATAATTTATGCTTATTTAGCCCCCAGTCACTTAGCCCCTATTTGTAAGTCGTTTGCCATAAACAGCCTAATAAATGTCTACTTGAAAAATAAAGGCCCCCTCAACATTGTTAAAATTTTATTAGATGCCCCTCTTTAATAAAGGCCCCTGTCTAATAAATAGACGGTTCCCCATGAGAATTACTCCAAAATACTAGGAATTAGCAAAAAGGTGCAAAATCATTCAATTCATTCAGTTGCCTGCTTGATTAGCAAGGGTAAATGCGTATTTCATCTTGCTCAATGTTAAGTTAAAAATGAGGATAGACTAACGATGGCAACGCAAAAACAATGAACGTGGATTCTAACATTGATGTTGGGATTTGAAAAAGAACAATATGGATCTCTGGACGGCCTAGCTGTATCAATATTGATGGAGTGGATATTCCACCATTTTTAAACTCTCTTGATATTTTTGCCGAAAGAGGGCTCAAAATTGCGACTGATAAGGTTGCCAATGTGACTAACATTTTCTCCTTGGTGACTAAAAATTCTAGTTTAGTCGCCAAAGTGGCGACCAGATTTCTCTATGACTTAGATTTAAATTAAATTAGTAAAGTTAAAACAAACATTCGATCTTATCCTGCTTTGCTGTCATCATAAAAAATGTGCCAAATTGGATAAACAAAGCCAGTTTACCTCCAAATTTATACCGAATTCTATCTACGATATTTTCAAATCTGATGGATCACACCATACTATGCAGGGCTTCTGATAAGTCCCGGAAAAAAGTCAAATTTCGCTGGATTTGTAGGGGCAAATTCGCGGAAAAATCGACCGGTAAAAAAAGGACGATCGGTAAAAAGGGACCATTTTGTGGTTATTTTCAGGGAAAACGTCGTTAGAGATTGATCAGTTTTGCACAGACCATTGACCAGCGTTTTTAATGTTTTTCTAACAGAGGTCATCATTTGCTCTTTCAACATGAATATGCTCCAGAACTGAACCAATGGCAAAGCATCATGGCTAGTGCCCAGCTTTTCGCAACATAATCTACGCCTAGTACATGTAGTTTCAGGACATTGTTTGCATGTTTCAGTGATAAAGTTTCAAGACAAATTTACAAGTTTACGGCAAGTAAATAGCCCCAATAGCTGAGAAGTTTCAAATATGTTGTACAAACATGTATTTGATAAGATTTCTACCGAATTTTGCAGTATTTTGCGTGGTTTTGTGAATTTCGCTGCTCTGCAACCGTGCAAAATATCAGAAGCCCTGACTATGAGCTGTGTCATTTACATTATTCAAACTGGTGACTAAAAATTTGCCTCTGGTGAATGTATTTCTCCAGTTGGTCGCCAAAAGGCAACCTGAGAATTTTTTTAATTTCGAGCCCTGCGAAAGCATGTTAGTTTTGTTGAGCTTGTTATAGCCTGTGAACAGAGAGCCTGTTCACAGGCTGAGCTTGTTACAGTTATGAGAATAAACGCCTTTCGCTTTTAAATGCCTTCTATCTATTAAACACCTCCACTTGGACCCCTAGAATTCACTAGATGCCTTGGGCATTTATTAGGTCATTTATGGTAGCCCCCAAAATTAAGTCATTAATTTTTTATTATTTTAGGCCCATACATGTACATGAGATAACTTAGGCTCTTTCATTTCTGTTATCATATCAGTTTGTTACAAAAACAAGACATTTAGGTTTCAAAATAGTTTAGCTTATCCTCCTGTCTTCCTCACAGATTTTGCCGATTGGGCAAAAAGTGCAAGATCCACTTCTCCACCTTTTTGAAAAGTGCTCTCTCCCTATCCTTGTTTATGGCCGACTGGTATGTATAACAAGTATTTACTTATGTACTCCTTTACCAGTATGCAAAGAAAGTTGTGTCCGATAGCCCGGGACTAGAGGATTTCGGTTATCGGGCTAGTGAATTCTGTTCTCAATTTACCCTACTGGCAAATGAATTTCTTTTAGGAAATTTGCATTACAGAAGAACTGTAATCAATCCTGCTCATTAATGACTCTTGGGCTGGTACATGCTAGTTGCAGCTTGCACGAATGGGAAGCTGTAAAACTGACTTTCTTTGCACCCTGTTTACTACTTGAGCTAGTTAATGACATAATGTCATGATGTATGAATGCACTGAAGCTCTTGTTTTTGAGTCTGGATGAAATCTTGCTGTTACCATTAAAATATAGTAAATTCTCCTTGGTGGTTCCAACCTCTGCAAGATTATTATTAATTTTGTGGAATACTTTTTCTGGAGTTTTTAGTTTTTCATTTTTATAACTCCAGTGTTATGCCACTGGTGTACATTGTATCTCCCATGGTATGTCGTGATCAATATTTTGTGTAAAGCTTGAACTGCTGTCAGTAACAAAATTGTTGTAGAATTTAGTGATATCCAGGTCATCGATTATAGTGGAATATTGATTAAAAAAAACCTCCAGTAAATGGATATTGATCATGGAAAATGTTCACATGAACATCCCCCCAAGGTAAAAAATATATATATTTATAGTTGACGAATCAGATCTTTTAGTTATCTTATCTTTTTAAGAACGCTTTTAATTTATGATCATCCTAGGAACATATTTGCTACTTTTTCTTTTTATTTGGCTTTTATTTGGTTTTATTCATAGTCTATTTTTATTCGTTTTTCACAATATTGTTTTAACAATATTGTGAAACGCATAGCTCAATTTTATTTTAAAATTTTTATACAGTGCACTGTTATTAGTTCATTTTATTAATTTTTTTTAAAGTAATTGTTGTTGTAAAGTGCCATTGGACAGCAATGGAAATGGTGCTTTGGAAGTAAATGTTATTATTATTATTATTATTATTATGAGAATATTAAAACGTGGGGGTTGTATTTTAAATGTTCATCCAGTGATGTAGCTTTAATGCATTGATGAACCCTTTTTTGAAACCTTCCATACATGTATGTTCTAAAACGTGCAACAGTGGCTCTGCTTAATTCTCTCTGTTGGTTTGGTAGGGTAATTTTGTTTGCATTCGATTATGCATGTTGTGTTAAGATGGGTAAAAGATACATGTGGGTAATCGGTAATTATGATTTAAAACGAGCATTAAGTCCAATATTATTGTAAGTACAGCCCAAAACTCTTGGTGTATGGAAAACACTAATCTTTCTACATGACTTGTACCCTTCAAAATTAATAATTTATGCCTTCCTTGCCTTTATTTCAGAGTCCATGCAAACACTCTTTCTGTTTAACATGCGCAGAAAAGGGAAATGGAAAATGCCCAAGGTAGAGTTAAAATGGATTTCATCATTTTTGTTACCTCAGTACAACTTGGTCTGCCAAAAAATAATGTTTACACTGGGCTAAGTACATTCAGTGCTATGTCATTAGAAATGTGGTTGCCTTTGGTTGCACGTAATTTTTACTAAAACCAGTTTAATCAAGACCAGGCACATCGGAGTTCTTAAAACTCGTTCGATTGGGTTTGTGAGTTCCAGAACCAATTACATTCAATGCTATGCCACTAGAAGTGTGATTGACTTTGGTTATTCATGTTATTTTGACTTTAACTTGCTTAATCACAAGGGACTTCGGAGTTCTAAACTTGCTCCAAAGGGTTTGCGAGTCCTAAAACCAATTATTACATTCAATGCTATGCCATTAGAAGTGTGGTTGACTTTGGTTGTTCATGTTTTTTTGACCTTAACTTGCTTAATCACAAGGCACTTCCGAGTTCTTAAAGACTCGTTTCAAAGGGTTTGTGAGTTCTAGAATCAATAATAACTGAAATTTGGAAGTGCGAGGTCGTTAGCAGGACTTGAATTTGGGCGACATAGCAAAAAAAAAATTCTCAAAATTCAAATGATGAAAAAGAGACGAAATTCAAAGTTTTGATTAACGTACTGACTAGCCATGCAGCTAAGTTGCTGAAAGTTGCTATTCATGTGTCCAGAGTTGTGTTATTAAGATCCAGCTTATAAGTAGTCTCCCACCTTCTCGTTTTTGTCTGGTCACACAACGCTCCTCCCTCCTCCCCTTCCCCCCCCCCTTTCATGGGGAGTGGTGTTGCGTGACATGACAAAAACGGCTGCTTGAGAGACTAGCTTACAAGGGATAACGGGATAAATAACTAAAACGGGAGTATTTCCAAAAATTGCCCTTCATCGGGGCTCTGAATTCAAGTGAAGTTTACTTTAGGTGTGGGGAAAGTGTTCAGAGGATTGAGTGAGCACCGCTAGGCAGTGTGTATGTATGTTCAGTCGGCGGAGGCCGCTATGGAATCTTGGGATGTCGTCAGAGTTATTTCTCCCAGCGAGATTTGCCGTCGCACATTAAGAGACGTCATCAGAGAGAGCAGGGGGGAGGGGAGAGTGATGGAGGAGAGGAAGCTGAAAATGAGATACAGCGTGCTATGTTTCCTCAGGCAGCCCCCTTTTACCCAGCCCCTCTACACGAGACCATTCCCACGGTGCCCCACGCCCCATGTTGCCAGGGGAAAGACCCTTTGGCAATGTAGGAACTGTACCAGGCATGCATGGGTGCCATTTCCCTGCTGTACCCACTATACCTTAGGAAACATTCTTTATGGAAGGACTGCGTCAGCAACATCCTGTGGTCAGTAGTTTTCCCGTACAAGGTCCTGCACCAGCCCCTATGCAACACGTCCCTTAAGGCGGCTCCCCTCTGCCCGAGCAAGGGCCTTCTTCAAGATTTGAAGAGATGCAAGTGTCCAGGCCAATAGCCTCATCCCCTATTGAGGAAGGCTTTGGACACAGGCCAGTGGGGTGTGATTTTCCAGGAAGGTTTCTGGGACCTCAGCGGTCCGATGCAGACTGGATTCCAGGGGAACGGGAACCTCCTCTAGGAGGAGAAAGAGACTGGATTCCATCTCCGTGGGGCGTGGCGATAGGGACTGGATACCTCCTCGCAAACATGGTTCCCCCTGGGGCTCTTCCCCAAGGAAGACCCCCCCCCCCGAGACCTTCATATTCGTCCAGTGTTTTGAATCTCTTTTTTTCTTTTTACATTTACCTGTAGTTGATAATGTGGCTTATGATAGTCTCTATTCAAGATTCAGCGCGCACTACATTTCCGATACACTGGTGCATGGTGGGTAGCATATATTTTTGAAGACTGTGCATTACCTCAGAAAAGTTGATCCTTTGCTACTAAACCCCTTGTATAGCAATTCCAAGTAATCAAAAATGATGATTTTTCCCTGTCTTGTTTTGCAATGTCTTTTAGGTCTCATTATGTTTGGAGGGGAGTTAAATTTGACAAGTTTTTTCCCAGAGGCTGGGGTTCAACAACGTTTGAAGGAACATGGGAAAGATCCACTATGGAAAATCAAGTATGAACAACATTTTATATATTTAAGAATTTGCTCGATTAAGAGTCAAAGTGATGTTCACGTATAATTCGTTTGGTTAATAAGACCAAGTATGAAAATAATTTTAATTTTGGACATTTTTTGTATTTTCAGGTATACCTCTAATGGAAGTACATTTGTATACTATTTACTGCCTGTGACAGAGGAGTTGTTTGCAAGTAAGTCATACTCTGTGGTAACTGGCATGCATTAAAATGATCTCTTGACTAGCCAATAACAATATCAATTTGCAACTATTCTTAAATCAACAGGCCCCGGTTGTTCAAACATTGGATAGCGCTATCCACCGGATAATAATCTATCTAGTGGATAAATCCGATAACACAACTGGTTTCCTTAGTACTTATCCGTTGGATAGTGATCTATGCAGTGGATAGCCCTATCCAATGTTTGAACAACCAGAGCCAGATGTTGATTACTGTTAAACCTCTAAAAAGTAGTCCCCATTATGTGGCCACCCTCTTTTTAGCATACATGTAGTCACCAGGACTACTAAAATTGTCAGTAAATCATTGAAAATAGAAAATCTGTTAATATTAAGTGTTTACCCTGAAGGTTTTAATTACCAAATGAATCAATAGGGGTTAGATTGTGGGTACAACTTAAATTAAATTCAAATCCTACTGTATAGCTGTCACTTCTTTAAAAAAAAATCAGCCATATTAATTTTAGTGGAATAAGTGTGAACTGAATTATCATCATAAGCTGGGTTTATTTAATTCTGCTTCTAAAACCATTTACATATTTTTCAAAATGAACCTTAAATTTATATATATTTTCAGTTTGTGAATTTCATGAAGACTGTTCATAATTTGTTCTTACAGATATCAACATTTTCCTGATCATCACGAGTTTGTAGAGGATTTGTTTTGTTACTCAGATGCTGTGGAGGACATTGATATTTCACCTTATGATGAATGTATCTTTAAATATACTTTTAATTCTCAGCAGACATGATTGTGCATAGCCTTATAGAACATAACCAACATTTCAGGTTGCCACCTACAGTTTCTTTGCAAGGTTATATCTGAGGAACGAGCATAGAAATTCTGTTATACTGATGATGTGTCACTACTCTCTACCCAGATCTAAGTACAAGTAGTGGCCAGTGCCAGATCCAGACCTTGAGATAAGGGAGGGAGGGGACCCGGTCATCCAGACCCTTAGATAAGAAGGGGGGCGGGGGTCCGGTCTCCCAAAAAATTTTTTTCAGCCCTCAGTTTGGTCTAAAAATAAGGGGGGGTGGGCCTCCTGGGCCCCTCCCCTGGATTCGCCACTGGTGGCACATCATCAGTATAGAATTTAAGAATATTTATGGAGATCAGTCTGGAGACTTTGTAGGTGGATATTGGGCTTAAAGGGGTAAGGGCTTTGATGTACCAGTGGCACATCCTCACTTAAAAATACACAGTAAGAGTAATCTCTCTTGTTCCCTAGTTTGACAATGGTTTCATTTTGTTCTCCTTAATATAACTTTCTCAACAGATTTAGTAACAGCATCAAAGGACCAAACTGTTGGTGTATATCGAATGGGACCACCAAGTCACGGCATCACAGAGTATGGAGAGATAAGATAACAACAGAGTACATACTAGCCTTCTGTTGACTGCCTGCAATCGCTTAAAGATCCCAAAGTCAGGGTCAACCCCTCAGGAAAGGGTTCTGAAAATTCAAGCGTGTTGGATTTTGTATAAAATGTACTGGATTCTTAATGGGATGTGGCCATCATTGTTGACATATGCAAGCTATAATCATGGAAAGGAAGCCATCAAATTATCATAGTATAATGGTGGTGACTCTCAGTCCACAAAAATAGCCTTGGCCAGTCACATGTAGTAAGCTTGTTTGCCATGTTTGATCAGAGGGCTACTAACTTACATTTGGGGAAAAGTGAGCTATTATGCAATCTGAAGCTGGAATAAAGACGTCTCAAGCTCATTAATAATTCATAATTCAAGCCCACCAGTCAACACCTGTATACTACATCACATGGATGTGTTTGGATACCCAATGAAAAAGTAGATGAAAATCTTTAAAGATTTGGATACATTATCCAAATGTTGACTGATTCTAGAAAAATCATGTGACATGAATAAATTAATTCTACGTAAATAATGTCTCATGCAAACAACAAACATTTATTTCTTTTAAAGAATGTTACAGAATAGTTGGGTAATTCACATAATTATTATCACAGTTCGGAATGTCCCAAAACTATAGGAAGAAACAACACAAGTTGCACGTAGTTAAAATGCAAAGCACAAATAGAACCTTTCAAAATCAGTTGAAATGATACTTTTTGTCACTAACAGCCAATGGATTTAATACATCCTCACCATTTTTCTCTACCAGGAAACGTTTTAAGCCACAGACAATTGGCTGTAAAGCATCCGAGTCTTGCCATTCTAGAAAAATCTGTAACGCTCATTTGTTCTTGTAAACTGTAGATTTCAGAACAGAATTGATAACAAGCTCTTTTTGCTCGTCAAAAGTTTTGGGCATCTGAAACGTTGAACTTGATTCATCCATGTTGCACAAAAAGTGAATATGATAAACACTAAAATAATTAAGTTGGATGACTCCCAAATAATACATTCCATCCAAACGGTTGTTATCACATTCAGACTATAGCTATTGTTTAATCACCATAACGAAACAACAATAAATGAATAATGATAGTCAGCCACTTGTTTAACAAACTATACCAAAAACTCATACTCCATGCTTCATCAGGGTATCCAGACACCTCAAAACGATAACAGCAGTCTGCCTTCAGCCTCGTGCTTTCATCTGTTTCTCGATGTCTGGATACCCCAATGAAGCCCTCGCACTCGTTTTTGATATATTACTTAAAAGTTAATCAGCAAGTGATTATACTATTAATTTTGATAATTATCCCTAGTAGCCTAGGTGCAGTTACTTATTCATTGTTTAGCAATCAGTCCAGTACTTTAGGATTTTCCAGGTGCTAGCCTTAAAAGAAATCAGTCTTAAGGATGAGGATATTGTTGTTAAGAAGCTTGCCCTTACTCAGGACTGGCACCAAGGGCTGGGGGCCAGGGCTACTATGAGCATGATCACCGGCTACTTTTATAAGGAAAAAAAGAAAAACAAAACCCACCAAGCTTCCCTGGCTAGTTCTTTAATTCCCCACCACCTACTAATAATTGCATATACCCAGCAAGTTGAAATCTTAGTGCCAGCCCTGCCTTACTGTTATTTGGATCCTCAGAAACCTTCCAAGAAGGATGTTGTCTGGATTACAATATTAATATTACCCTTAGTGGGTGTAACACAGTAAACACAAAAAGTGTAATACTAATTATTAAAGAGTTCCTTACAATGAAAATTGGGTATAAACTTTATTTCATGTTGGAGAAAACTAAGAAAAATGCAACTAATATTTATCCTATTCTAGACTTTGCCACTCAGAGATCAGTCTTTTATTTATGCAAAATATTATTCTTATGTGGCACAGCCTAGGCAAATAGGCAGGCGTACCCCCCGTATTTTGGTTTCATTTTTAGCCCAGAAATCCCAGGAGTCTTCACAGGCCATTACGTAGTAGGATGATCGCGTGACAAGCACGGGAAACGTTGCGTGACAAACAAATGAACGTCTGTTTGGCACCCAACTGCTGATTTCGTTCTTTCTGTGAAGTCTTTTGTGTTCTACTTTTGTCGTCATTTATCTCCTTTTGTTCTTAACCCTTCAAGTTTCGTAAGTATGCTGCGTACTCCTTTGGAAGAAGATCCTCCCCTTCAAGTATTTCATTGAGGTAAGTTTCGCTTGGCTTCAACCCACCTTTGACACATTCCTCATTCGCTTTGTACGCAATCGCATCTACAACTTCCCCGTTTCTCTTTTCCACTTTAACGATCACTCGGTGAAAACGATTGCCTTCACGAATGTGCTCGTGATCCATTTTACATATGCTTCCCTTCTCGCAGATGTATAAAGCGTCATGAACCGCGGAACCTTCGTCTGGGGTGATATTAGCGTAACCAAAACCATCATCTTTCCAGTTGGTGTTGAAAACAAAGCGATATCCGCGAAGCTCTCGCGAGAAGTGAATTTTGCTCCACGTTCTTTCATTTTTCTTTCACTTAGATTTGATGCAAAAGCAAAATACAGCTCTTTCCCTTCCATATTGTCCTATGATCTCCAAACTTTTCAGGGTGAGATGTGTGGCGAATACCAGAGGTAAACCACGTTGCAATTTTTCCACCATTAGGAAAGTGATGGTGGGTCGAGGGGGTTGGGGAAGAAACAAAGGGAAAATGTCCCCCCCAAAAGTTCATGCAAATGACAGGCCGGCGTGTCAGACCGTGCTTCGACACTTACAGCCGGAGGAAAATTTCGTGAGTAGCAGCGCGTGACTCACGGGCACGATTTCACATCTACACAGGCTATAAAAAACGGCAAACTGAAAGCGGAGCTGGAAAGTTAACATGCCTTCTCTTAAGCTCCAGAATGCATGCATACTAGCCATTAATTATGCTCCAATTTTCGAGCATAATATATCTAACCCTAAACCCCGGGGGACTCCCATACATTGCCTATACGGGTATGTGCCGCCCAACGGGGTCGTGATTTTGAAGCTCCTGATTTAGAACGGGGTATCCATTTCAGAGGCGTTTTCTAGAACGGGGTATAAAAAATTGTGGATCAAGGCTATATCTTCTGTTTAAAATTATTGCTGATTATGAAGAAGCATTTATTTGATGTATAAGTCGAACAAATAAAGAAATATCTCTTTTTAAAAAAAAGGGCTATTTCAATTTACAAACTTTCTAGAACGGAGTATAAAAATTGGCCCATTTCTAGAACGGGGTCTAAAAAATTGGCCCATTTCTAGAACGGGGTATCAATTTTAGGGGAAATTTTTTGTAGAACGGGGTGCCAATTTGGAGTCCCGGGTGGCACATACCCACCCAAAAAATACCCAAGTGCTCCCCCCCCGGGCCCTAAACAGCGTCGACT